GCAGAAATCAGAACTCCTCCATCGCCATCCAAGAAACCTTGCTGTTGGCCTGGTGTCCAACCTTCAGGGTCGGAGAAACCTGCATGGCCCAGGAGGCCACGCCCATGCTGGAGGGTCGCCTTGGGCACAAAGACGCATTGTGACCCTCACCATAAGCCTCGTGCTCAAATCAGGTCTCTCCGTGGCTGGACCAAGAGCCCGCCTAGGGGGCTTCCCATGCCCCTAGACCCTCAATCCTAACCCGAGTTTGGGTTTTCCAGTCGCCAGGAAACCGGGCTCTTCTCTGGAATCCCTCTTTGGGAGGGACACCTGAGGCAGAATACAGGACTCCTCCCTTCCCGCAGAATGACCTGAAACTCTTGGAAGCCAGGCCAAATCCCCAGAGAGGGAGGCTACTCCAGGGCCCAGGAGGCCACCCTTCCATTCCGCAGCCCTCCTTGACATAAAATCCAGACACAGAAGCCTGAGAAAAGGACGCACACTCGCCCTTCATTCACATCCAGACTAGCTCCCATCACGGTCGGTAGATGGGGCCTGCCATACCCTCGGCCCCAAACCTAAGCCGAGTTTGTGTTTTCAGACTTCAGGCCGCGCAGCCCTGTCCCACACACCCTCAACGCTGGGGCCCCTGGAGCCACAGCGCAGGACTGTGCCTGCCCTCTCCAAGGAAACTCTGCCCATTCCACTGCCCACAACCCTACAGATTAGGAGAATGCTCCAAGATCCCCGAGGCCATCCCAAGAGTGTAGGCTGCCCTGGACACACAGGGGTGATCTGACACAAGCTGAGCAACTCCCTCCACTCAGAAAAGCAGACGGATGTCCCCAGAGACGGAAGATGGAACCGGACAGTCTGTTAGGCCTTCCTCTGAAGCCTTTGGTTGGTTTCCAGGCGTCTCTCCTCAGAGGCCTGGATTCCAATACCAGCAAAGGGAGGTTTCCTGAGGCACCCATCAGAACACCTCTCCTCTCCACAGGGGAAACTTACTCGTTGGAGCTGTGTCCAATCCTCCAGTTCGGAGAATCCTTCCGGGCCCCCGAGCCACTGCCACATTCCTAGGTCTCCATGGACACAAACCCACATGATGACCCATCCTCAGGAGAGTCCATTTCAACTCAGCCCCCTGCCTAGCTCCCCCAGAGCCAGCAATCGAACCAGCCTTGTCGCTAGGAGACAATGGGAATGTGAGGTGGGATGCCCAGGCATCCATCCTTAGAAGCCTGCCCTCGAGTCTTTCTGTATGGGGCGTCCTGGAGCCATCTCACAGGACTCGACTGTCCCGCAGTAGGAATCCTTGCGGTTTGGAGCATCTCACAACTCCCCGCATGGGAAAACCTCCATGGCCTCGTGAGGGCCCCCACTTCCTGATGGGGCCATCATGGACCCAGGCTCCAACCTGAGCCAAGGTCGAATCCTCGCCCTGTCTCCAGATGCAGGAGATCTCAATTCAGCCTCTGCAGAGTGCCCTCTCCGAAATCTCAGCCTAGCTTGTGTTCTCAGACTTCCGTCCTCACATTCCTGGCCCCCAAGCCCTCCAGATTGGGCATTCTGGAGCCACAATGCAGCAGTCTGCCTTCCCACCAGAAGAAAAACGTTGCCCTAGGCGGCTACCCAG